AAAAAAAAATGAAAAATAGATTAATAAATTTTCACAAAAAAAAAATAGCATCCTTTAATTATTAAAATTAAATTAAAAAGCTCTCTAGCTCACCTTTTGGACATATATATATAGGGGATAATCAAGATCTAATAGTAATGGAGCTATATAATTGGGGGGAATGAAGCCTGGTCCGACGACGACGAACATTAGCAACATCAGATCTATTACATAATAACGTTAATTAATTAGCCCATCGAATCCAATCCAATCCAGCTGAATGAATCCTCGAGCCAGACAACATTCCCCTCAACATAAAGTTCCCATTATTCTTCGTCTTTCTTGAATGACTGAATATATATATATATATATATATACGGGTGTGTGTGTGTGTGTGTGTGTGTCTGTGTATGAATATGTGAGTAAGACCGAGTTAGAGAGTCATCCCTTTATCGCCCAAAACACTCGCCTTCTTTCAAGGGAGAGAGAGAGAGAGAGAGAGAGAGAGAGAGAGAGAGAGAGAGAGAGAGAGAAGTCAATGGGTGTGATTTGATTTGGTTGAGAGGGGCTTTACTTGTAAAAGGGTTGAATGGGGGAATGTGAAAAGACGAAAAGGCCCCCCCGGCCCTACCAGCTGGATCAGGTCCAGAAATGACCACCATTATTTTCGGTCCCTGCATTAAATTGTGTGTGTCTGCCTGCATTCAACACCACATACATACAGCAGTCTCATCTTTTTAGGTAAATTTTGGATTCAATGTGAAAAGGTTGTTACTTATATCATTCAGATTCAGTCAACCGGTCAAAACACCACAAATTCTTATGTTAAGCACCGTAATTATTAGTCGGGTTTGAGACTGCGAACGAGTAGGGCGGCTCGCCAGCGATCAATTCAAACGCTCGACCCGAACTGGAGTTTGATCGAGCTCGGGCATTTTGAATCTGAACTCCAGATCGACCCAAGTTGGGTTGACTCGTTATAGTTTTGTTGTTAACAAAAATGTTTACTTGATATTATATGAAATGTTATACTTTTGTTAATGTTGTTTTTATAGAATGAAATTTAGTTTAAAAAGTATACATATTTATTGAAAAAGTATAATGCTAAAAGTTAGACATGTCTAACAATAGCGTGTCAAATAGCATTAGCTTAGGCCGCAAAACCTAAATTTGTGTACAACTGCGTCTATTATTCAGCCTTAACTGTTAAAACGAGCTAAATTTAATACTTTCTTAATTAAGTACTGGGCTTATATTATGAAGTGTTGTACATTTTTTTTTATATTTTTATAAAAGTATAAAATTTCAGTATAAAGTATATAAATTTATTAAAAAATATAGATATCCGGTGATTAAGTTAGTCGAACAACAACATTATTGAAAAATGTATATTTCTTAGTGAAATGTCATGTTTTTCAATATTAGGTAATCTCAATCTTAATTAATTAATTATCACTACAAGAAAATTATGAAATTCCAATGAAAAATTCCAACGAAAATATATTCCGATGAATATTAAAATTCTATTATTTCCGTTAGAGTTTTC